AAAGAGTAGCATACCCTATTTCCTCCTCCTCCTGATGGACTTGGAGTTCTCGTCCTCGGCGTAAAGGGTCGCTCTGGAGTCTTCTTCGAGTGACTGAATGGGCACTTGTCACCATTTCGACACCCTGCATCTGTGAAATGGAACTTGCAGCGGATTTGCTTCTTGCTCTTGTCGCCTCTGTTGTCCGCCGACTCACTCCTCGTCTTCTTCTTGGGCTTTGGCTTGGTCTTCGCATGACTCTTCGCCTTGCTCTGAGGTAGTACAGGTGTTGCTTTATCCGGCTTGGTAGGCGAAGCTTTGACCTTTGCGGATGGAGCTGCATTAGGCGTTGGTTTCTCAGGTACCTTGGCCGGCGCAGCGAGCAAATCCTTGCCCTCAAGCATCTGGCGCAAACCAATTTGGGTCTGAGTGAGATTTGATTGTTCTCGTCTCCGCATGATGGTACGATCGATGATCTTCATCAGATTGTCGTACGATCGGTCTTCGTGGTTGTAGGGCAAGTGGTCATAGTGCATGCCCAAATCCATCTTCATTGCGGGCGAGTCCTTGATCTTGCTGTGCAAGCAATCACGGAGAGCTGTCTTGGATGGTATGTCCTCTGGTCTCATCCGTCCAAGAACTTCCAACCATGTCTGCTTGAACGTATGAAGTTTGTTGTCGCCTTGGTACTGGAGCTTCACCAAGTACTCGAGAGTGATGATCATGTCGAGACGGTCATGCGTTCGAAAAGCTTTCATACATCATCGCAATGATTTGTCGTCCTTTGATGATCTTCCCTTCGGGCCTGCTGATGTAATCGTTGGCCTTCCGGTTCACCTCCAGGTACAGATCAGCGGATTTGTCACCACCAGCGCGTAGCATTGCGACCATGGCGACTCCCAATTTGACGTCTATGCTCTTGAACTTCTTGTGTCCTGAATCGTTCAGTGCTTCGACATCAGGGAATGGATTGAACGCTGGTGCCAGCCACAACATCCAGTCCTCATGATTTGGGTCGGCTGACGCCCCTAGAACATTCGCCGTGCATACTGACCGCCAGTTGTTCAGGTGAGTGAGAACAGGCCATGGAGGGACTGTCACTTTATCGGCCTCTCTCCTGGAAATTCTCACCTCCGTGACCTCAGGATCTGCGTCTCCGTCAGGATCACGCGCATGAGGGTCAGGATCCGGCTCAGGTTTGCCTCCACCGTTCTTCTTCTTATCATCATCGTCATTATTAGGCGAATCTGGAGGGTCATACCCCGTGCCGGTCCCTTCACCTTGCTCTCCCTCTTCGTTCTCATCGCCAGCTTCATCACCGTCATCGTCTCCATTGTCTTCCTGCATCGTTTCAGCGAATAATCTCCACTCATCACGATCAGCTCTGAGACGTTGTTCGGCTTTCTGGGCCTTGAGTACTTCGCTTCGCAGATCAGCAATCTTCTCTTCGTACTGTTCCGCGACCTCTTTCTCGATCTGACGTCTCCTTGCCTCATGGATGGAAGCATCGTAGGTGACAGGGGTAGCCTTTGGGGCACCATTGGGGTCGTTGCCCCTCATAGATGCGATAATGCCGTCGATACCAACAGGTCTTGAAGAGCTGGCAGATGCTGTGGACTTCGATCCCAACATCCCGCGATCCTCCAAGAGTTGACGTAGCTGTCGGTCACGTACGGCTGCCGCATCACTTTGTCCATGAAATCCGCTTGGTATGCCAAACAGAGTGGCTGCACTGGGCGTGGAACGCGCATGTGCTGGACTGCTAATGCCTGGCACGTGGTGCTCGGGCATTGCATCCGCCACGATTGGCGTTGCGTAGGATTTATTTACCTCACCTTTGATGTTGCCAGTGAAGAAGTTTCCACCGGTAAATGGGATGCCATCCATCGCAAGGTTCTTGTCCTTGTCCGATTCTGAGAATGCGAACTTCTCTTTGGCGACTGGACTAATTTGACTTGGGGACCGTATTTCAGGGGATCGCACCTCACCTCCTACGGAAAATGCAGGTACTACGTCCTTTCCTACGTGCTCCCAGCCAGACTCAGTAGTCCTCGTAGACATGGGCATGCTCGAAGGCCGTGTCACTCCGCCATGGTAGTTGGAGTTCCGTGCTGCCTCCAATTCGCTGCGTGTCCTCGCTTGAAGATCTTCTTGTGCTTTGAGCGTTTTCCTGAGTTCACTCAGCTCGTCGTGCAAGGTGGGCAATGCGCGCCTTGCATGATCCTCATTCTGATGGAGTCGGTCCTCTGCATCTTGCATCCTCCTCACAGCCATTTTGCGGTACTCTTCCTCCTCACCAAGACGTTCGCGAAGCCGAAGTCGCTCTTGATCAATGGCTGCGCTGTTTCCAGCTAGCCCTTGAATCTCGTTTATGGCTCGCAACTCCTGATTCCTGACCAGGTGGAATCGTTCCTGCATCGCTTGCAAGGCTTGTTCCGAACTTGCTGTGTTCGACCGGAGGAACAAGTTCTCTCTGGCTTGTTCATGAAGTTCATGAGTCAGATGCTCATACTCACGTGCCATAAGCTCACCATCGCCCTGCGCTCTTGCCTCCAACTGCACAAAGTTAGTGGCTGCTTCCGTGCGAAACACATGTAGCTGCTGAGCCAGTTCCTCGGCAACGGCGTGTGCTTGACGTTGTTGAGCAGAGTTCTGTTCATCCATGCGAAACAAAGCTGTTTCATAGTCTCGCTTCATCTCCTGATTGACATTGTTGATGTGCCTCATGGCTAAGCATGCATGGTCACGTTGTCGTTCCAATTCTTCGATGCGAATTCCAGATCCTTCATCCTCTTGCTGCATCTCCTTGATCTTCTCCATCAGGGTCTGGACAACACCTTCGTACTCCTGCACCTGACTTCGATAGTACATCTGCTGTGCAAGATTCGATGCTTCAAACTGTTGCGGAATTGTCAGTCCCTGGTAGGCATTCGGACCATCGGCTATGGCTGGTGTAGTCACCGACGAAGCGTCACCCCGTGCAGGAATCGTGTCCAGAGTCATATCCAGATCGTCAGCTTCGCGTGGTTGATTGGTAACCATTCGATTCCATGTCATGGACTTGTCGCGTCCACGAGTGGCCGAAGTCCTAGATCGTGCTGAAGAGCTTCTCGAAGATGATGGTCGCGGCTTCTTTTCCAAAGTCTTCACTCCCTTGTCCTTTGCCCTCGACGGGGTCCGAGGTGCCTGAAAACCAGACGCTTCGGATCGTCGTTCTGGAGCCTTGCTCGTCCTCGAACCTGTGGATGTTGGACGCGAAGGCGTGGATGCTCTTGGTAGACTCTTTGCTTTCGCTTTGGGAACTGCCTTTGCAATGGCAAGCGCAGAAGATTGACCTTTGTCATCTTCCGTGGAGCTATCAACGGATTGCACCACTGTGTCATCAGCTGTTGACTCACCAACGGCTGGCGCTGCCACATCGGCACCGAAAGTCATTGTCGTATCTTGACTTGATCCCGAGTTCATTGTGGTCGTAGTAGATCAAGTAGTCTTTGCTGCAGAAAGGCAGAGCCGCGTACGGCTGATAACCTGCGTGGGGATTTGATCCTGGTAATGTTCTCTGTCGCTCACCCCACAAAGAGCTGTATTGACTGTTGGCGTGGTTGCCTTCTACAGACTGGATCACCGTTACTTCCACTTCCACACGCGCACTCCTATGCAGGCAGATCCAACGTTCGCTCGTTTTGCACGCTCACGGCCGGCGGTGGATCGTCTGTGCACGGGATAGCTCTGTCCACTCGGAGAATCACAGAAGATTATAGCACTTTAGCTATGGGCAATGCTTTCTAGAGCTTGTGCTCATTCTTGAGCCAAAATGTTGCATGGGCGGTCATACTGAAAGCATGGATAGGCATTGCGGTGTGCGTAGCACTTCCACAAGCCTAATCCTAGAGACGAGGGACGCGTGGCGTGCCCCCTTCCCTTGCACTTTACACGGTCTTGCTCACAGCTCTTATAGTGACACCTTAGAACTTGACAAGGCATCGCAGTCCGTTCGCATTCATTGATCAATCAAGATGTTAATCAAGATGTCAATCAAGGTGTGAATCAAGTTTGGAACATTCAGGTAAGGCATTCAATTGGTCAGCTGCATTCAATGTGCATAGCAATCATCGAGCGGCTGAGCAGGAAAACATTCAAGGTATAGATCTGTTCATTCAAGACGTCAAGCAGTTGCTACGCCCGGCCCTTTGACAGAATGCCGGTCGGGAATACACTTGCAAACTCCATGGTGGGAGTAGCTAGAGCGATTTACTTCCTAATGCAGGTACACAGATTGGCGTCCCAATCTGCTTCACGGAGTATCCACAGCCGTCTTCGTTGGCAGAAGAACTGTGGACTCCCTGCTGCCCCCTGCTTTTTTGATCAAGAAACGCCCTTTGCTATCAGGGATTCACACACACACAGAGTGATACAGTTGCCATGGCACCTGCAACACACTCAGACAGATAAACACTCAGAAAAGTCCTGGCTGAGGATTCGGAGCGCTTTGCTCAAGAGATCCTCGGACTCGGAGGCGGAGGCGCCGACGTCGGACATGGCTCGCCGTTCTCTCCAACAACTCCGAGCTGCAGTCTGTATGAGCTTCGGAGGAACTTCCAGGATGCTACAGCCATCTACAGCCTCTGGAGCTCGAATTATGCGGCCTATGTCCGATGTCTTGAGGCGACGGAGACAAAGACTCCGCTCCGCCTGGCCTCGCTGCAAGCTCTTGACTTCTTTCGCTGCGGGCCCAAAAGCTGAACCGCCCAGCCCCAGCTGGCGGAAGTTTTCAAGCATACATGGCCAACACGCTTCCGACGTTGGTATTCAAACGATGCACCGGATCATACTCTTGCGGGGAATCCTAAAACACAGTCGTGGCCTCTTTCTTCCTGCGGCCGCGGGCGTAATATCCCGTGAGTCACATGGGTCCCGTGTGTCTTTGGTCTCATGCTCGGAGGAGCTCGAAGAGAGCGGGGGCCACGCCCCCGCGGCCCCTGCGGCCCCCGCGGCCCCCGCGCCCAGCGACGGTGGCTCGTTCAGCCCGGGAGCGGCATGCGCCGAAGTATCGCCATGGCCATGGCCATCGGCAGACAAAGCAAAAAAAGGCAGCGACGGCTCCGGAGCGAAGCGCACGCTTCTCTCAGACGCAGTCGTCCTAAGTTGAGGTTGGCGGAATGAAACTCCGTGGTCCGCGGCTGGTCGCTCTGAGTTCGCGGCTTGGGCTGGGGCCCAGGTCGCGCCGGGACTTCGAAGACCAGCTTGGAGCTCAGTCCTTCGATGCTCTGGACCTCACCAAGGCACCGACGGAGGCGAAAGTGTGGCCTTCGATTGGCGGTGCGAGGCTCGCACGATGGAGTCGGTGAAGTCCTGGAGGCCCTCGGAGAGTCTTCGTTCGACCGCTTCCTCCCGCCCGACATTCGAGAGCTCTTTCGCCGCGGGCGAAGCCGCCGCGGGCGAAGCCGAACCTGCAAAGCACGGCAGCACGGTGCCGCACGCGGCAGGCGGTGCAGGCCGCGAAGCAGCAGCCGTTTCGATCGCTGCCTTGCGCCGCTCCCAGCTGCTGCTTCCAGTACTCATGCAGGCTCCTAGGTGAAAAAGGGACGCGATTCCTTTGCGAAATTCGACCGCGCTGACTAGCGCCGAGAGGCCGAAGCTCGGAGAGGATCGCTGCCTGGCCAGCCAGCACCTCCAAAAACCCCCAAGGCGACAACGCGACAACGCGAGGGCGCTTAGCGTGCAGGCTTGGCCTCCTTCCGAAGCCGGTCCTGGCTTCGCCTCAGCTCCTGCACCGCCGCTTCAGAAACCGAGCGCAGCAGAGCGCAGCAGAGCGCAGCAGAGCGCAGCAGAGCGCAGCTCCTCCAGAAGAGCCTCCATGACCGAATCCGAGTCGGAACACTGACGCTTTGGGCAAAGGGCTGCACTGGCCAGGCTGTCGCGGCTGTCGCGGCTGCCGCTTTCGCGTGAAGCTTTATTCCTTCTTGGACACGTCTGAGGAAATCTGGGCCTGACACAGCTCTGGGTGTGGCTTGAAGAGTCTAGGCCTGCAGGGCGGAGTCTGAGTAGGCCGTAGCATTCCGTAGAAACGCGGGGCTCTCTCTCCCCTTTTTCCGAAGAGCCATCGGCGATTTGCGAAGGTCCCGGAGGCTCCGCGCCCGGAGGCTCCGCCCGGCTCCGCTCCGTGGAGGCGGACGACCGTCGGAGCTCGCGGCGCTTTCCGGAGGAGCGCTCCTTGCACTTCGCTGCTGCGCTGCGCTGCTGCGCTGCGCCCTTGCAAACGGGCGGCTGCCGGGCGGCTGCGGAGGCGCATCGGCGGACATCGACACCGTCTTTAGCAATCCAAAGCCATGCAAAGCCTCAAGCCTTAGACTTTGGACTCTCTCGCTTGCCTTTAGCTGCCCGGAAGGACAAAATTGAAAGCTACGGCTACGGCTATATGAGACACTGCGAATTAAGGGAACTCAGCCCAAAACGCTCTCAGAGCTTGGACTTGTTGCCCTGCAAGAGCGCGGCGCCGCGACGCCGCGATGCGAGACAGTCTCGGTCTCTCAGTGGCTCTTTTGGGCCTGGCCTGGCGGATGGCCAGGTCCAGCAAAATCTCCTCGCTGCCCCCGGGGATGGCGTAGGCGCCGACGTCGCGGTACAGTCGCTCGGCCTCGAAGATGCGAAGACTCACAACACTGTGGAGGGCTGCGCTTGTTTGGCCCGCTGCGCTGGCTGTGCGCTGGGCTCCCGGCTCTCTCTCCGAGACCGCTCCGCGTGTAGGCATTGCCCCCGAAGATTTGCCGCGCCTGAGCCGTCAGGAGAAGAGTCAATAACCCTTCCTCTGTTGTGCATGGCCTCGCGTGCGCAGTACTCGAAGATCTTCGAGGAGTGTGCCTCGCGCGAGACAGACCAAAGACGCGATGTCTTGAAATCAAAAAACACCTTCATCAGCGCGATGGGTCCGCCCAGCGTGGTCATCGCTTGGTCCTTGGGCATCCTGGAGAGCCGGATCGTTCGGGGAGCGGTCACGAGCGTCGCGTCACACGCTTTCTCCGTGCACCGGGCTGGCAGAGCTGGAAAGTCATGTTCTCCAGCCAGTGGTGGATTCCCTCTACCTGAGACAAAAGCTGGCTCCGTGCTACAGCCTCCTTGGCTGCTCCCCACCTGACGGGTCATCTCGGCCAACTTCCAGCGTATCACCGGGTGCTCCACGAGCTTCTTCCTATCCGCGGAAGGCCCGACGGCCCGACGTTTACACTTTTCACACCGGCTTGGGCCCGAGCCCAAAGGTGCTTCGCTTGTTTGCAAAGTTCCAGGAGCTGAGCAGAGCAGCAGAGCAGAAGCTGAAGTTGAACGCTTCTGCGCTCAAAGAGTCCCGGGCTCTTCCAGGAGCACGCGGCTAAAGCGAGTCGCCTCTGCCAAGGAGCACGGAGTGCGCATCCGTGCGCCTCTGCCCGCACTCCCCTCTGCCCTCTGCTCCTGAACCACGAAGCCCCAGCGCTCATGGTTGAAGTTCTTCATGATGACACCGAAGCCCTCGTTTTCCTGCGTCAAAGTGTTCAACAACTCCGACCAACACTCCAAAGTCAAAAAAGTCCAAAGATCCTTGCCGATCAAGTTGGCCACGGGAACTTTGACCTTAGCCGCTGCGGCGAGCTGCTCGAGCTCGAAGGACATCTCTCCTCTTGCAACTCTCAACTCTCTTGCGCCTGATCGAACTCTACATAAGTCGTGCCGCTGGGCCAGACCTACGAGTCGCAGAGTCCCAGAGTTCTATGGAGCCTCCCTTGGCGGACTGAGGGCTCGGGCGCCCTGGCAGTCCATCCTCTTGGTCGTGATCCTGCACGTCCCCTGCTGCCACTCTGCTGCCCTTTTAGAGCTCTGCTGCGGGTGCAGCCCGGTCCCTGGCATAGAATCCTTCTCGAGCAACAGCATCGACACCCCTCGCATCCCCTGGGAGCACAGCGGCTGCAATCTCTTAGAGGCCATGAGAGGCCATGAGAGGCGCCTGTCCACCCGTCCGCACAGCGCACGTGAAGTAGTCCGAGAAGATCTGCAGCAGACAGCAGGGCCACCCTCCCTCATCTCTCCCAAGGCCGGGGACCGGCATGGTCCAACGAATGAACCACAACGGCTTGCACATTTCCCTTGAGTTGACTTCGGAGTTCCGCCAAATGAGACTTGGCAAATGCAAACTCCAACCTGTCACGAGCTGGGCAACAACTCACTCTCGGCAGGAAGGCAAGAGCCGCCAAGGAGACTATATAGCGACATCGAAGGCGACAACATCAGACCACAAACCACCAAGCGCTGGACGAGATGAGGACACCAAATGCGAAACACATCTGGTCGTCTGAGGGACTCGACGCAGGGTCTCCACTCCGGAGAGCGTCGACCGGAGCAACTCTTCCCTGCTCAAGACGAGCCCGGCACCCCATTGG